TACAGAGGGTGAGAGGGGTGAATGCTGAAAAGAATTGCTACAAGCTACCCAGGACTGAAAGACAACTTCAATAAAGGTGCTCTCAGGAAGTAAGATTCAACTGAAATATAGTCACAAGGGACCACTGGAACCTGTGGTTGAAATAGCAAATCCCATCCAAGATCACCCACTTATTGTAGCTTGCACTGGTTAACTTTGATAATCTGCCATTTCACTAAATTTTGAAGAAGCTCTACTATTGTAGGAATCATTTTCAAGTTAATGTTAATAAGATCACATTGTGATCTATACAGCAAGAAGAAGATAAAGAAAGAAGAAAGAGGGACAGGTTGAAAGAAGTGAATAAAAAAAGAAATCTAGAAAGTTTGCAGAAGGATGCTGTCAAGAGAGGAAAGGAGTTTGAAAGAAAGGTACAGTTACTGTAATGTGATGCTGCAATGGCTGATTTTATTAAATCATTATGATTAGTTGATTTCTGGAACAGAGTGATATGTAATGTAGAATTCTGTATTTTTAGATTTTTCAATTTATTTATGTTAATAGGCAGGTCATTTGTCAGGATATTGACTGGTGTTTGTCAGGCAAGGAGCAGTGGACAAAAAGAAAACTGTTTCATTTTCTGGAAAAATGCTCCTTATCATTGTATCAAGCATCCACAATGAGATTGTTGGACCAGGCAAACCTTTACTCTGTCAAAACCTTAAAACTCACATTACATTTGATCAATGACTGGATGTTATTTAGTACATACTTCTCCAGTCTTAATTTGTACTGAACAAATTAAAAGTTAATGAAAGTTGTTGTTAAACACTTACAGCAAGGTTTTCATTCATTTCAGAAGTAGGGGTATATTAGGACATTAGTAGGCGGAAGACAGTTCAGTGGTAATCGAGGCAGATTTTGTCACCAGTCTTTCTCTTCTGTTGATTTAACATGGCACACAGCTAACCAATCATGTTATTGATTGAATTGTTAGAACTCATTACAAAAATCACCTAGCAACCAAAAAGGAGACAAAATATCAACAAAAAAAAGCCTTTATTGATGACTGCCTTTAGAATATATTGAATGTTTTCTAAAAAACATGCAAAAACTGGGAGGTAGAATGGCCATAGTTAGGCTGGCTCTGATGTGGAGAGTAGCTGCTGAAATTCGCCTGATGCTGGCTACTAATGAAATCCCTGCTTACAAGTTAGGAAACAGTCAAACAACGAAGAGGATATGTTACACTAGATATCTTTTGATGAAAACCTAATTTTTCTGCAGGAAGCCATCAAAGAAAATTCTCAATCAGATATTTACTCGGCCAGAAAAGCAGGTGGGTACAGGAAAGTTGATTATTCTTCATTCTGTCTCTTGATTGTACTGTGTTAATCATGGAAGTGTTGGTTTGTATACTCACCTCTTTTGGCAATCTCTCTAACTATAAATATTGATCAGTTGATCAAGTGAGTGATCAATTGATTGATTGAGTGACAATGTATACTGTTTGTTGATTATCTCTGTCCAACTGTATCCGTTCTCTTTTTATGACTGCCAAATGTTTTAAACTTGTTCACAGAGGGATCCCTTAAAGCATATTACAAAGAATTCAAGAAGGTACAGTAAGCTGTTATGAACAAGCAGTGGCATAAATTTCTAGACATGTTACATACTTAAAAGTGAGTAAATAAACAAGACTATTACTGAGCAATATTTACCAGACCTTTAGAGGTTCATTACAGAAAGACTGAATACAGATGTTGATGTGTTGTGACTGTTAAGTTTAAAGGGACTTTTTAAGGGAATTGTCTTTGAAATGCCTGGAATGCAAATTGTTGGTTTTAATGAATTTCTTACTCTACTTTAACCCTTTGACTCCCAAGAGGGATTAGCATCTAATTTATCCTTACAAAATCATCCTGCAAATCACATGTAGAGGTCATGAGTCACAGTAATGGAAATGATCATTAACTACAGAAACTCTTGATTGTTAAACCATTTTTTTTTCTTGACAATACCTTTGACAAATTACAGTAAAAGAGAATAGTGTAGGAAAAT